TATTAATAGAATTTTTGTGTGTGTGATTTTTTAAATTCATTTTCAATATATTTAACCCCTTTAACACTCGTTTTTTTAGACTATTCAGTAATTCTGTTACTATTTTCAGAATCTCAGCTTAAGCACTGTAAATAACCTGTGTCCAACAATATATAAAACAAGTATTGCAATTCTCACTCTTGCTCATGTAAGATTGTATATGTTTATGTGCCTTTACATTTTAGACTGGGCACTTGTGTTTGGCAGAGCTTTCAATGTGGGAAGCCCTGGCTGTGAGTGTATCCCTCCAGAGGGGTTTTACATTTTCTTCTGCAAGGTGCAGAGGTATTAATAAATCTATGAATACTACATGAATTCTTTTCTTAGGGTGGGGGTTTTGGGACCACACCACGTACATGGTGCAAATTTAAACCACAAAACTGTATGAGAGCAGGCTAGTGATTTCAAATTCCCAGATTTCAAATTTACCCAGGCTGAGGACAAAGAAGTCCTTTATCACCTTCCTATACTGGTGTAGATTTTTTTTTTCTAGTCTACCTTTCACTGAAGTTTAGTTCTTGGGTGAAGAAATGGAGGGTGTGCAGAGATTGGAGTTATCTACCTTATTTTCAGAAAACTTAACTATTATTCAGTATAGTTTTTAACTCCATCATATGGGTGTACCATAATTAAATTTCTCCCTTGCTTTCATTCATCCATTCAACAATATTTCAGTGCCTACTATGTGCCAGATACTAGGGTTTTATGCACTAGGGGAAATATAGTGAAAAAGATAAAGTTCTTATTTTATAGAATGTTTATTTCAGTATGTCAGACATTTTAGGTATTTTAGATAATATTGGAAATTTAGTTTGTTTTAGAATTTTTCTAATTATAAATAATTTGCAAAGAACATATTTATATGTAAATCTTAGTCATACATCCTTAATCCCCAGTACAGGATTGTGACATAATTATATTTTATAATTTAATGGGACAAAGACAGAATAATCAGAGCTCAGTTTGGTCAAAACTCACCGTGTCTTAGTGACATAGGTTGACAGTGGTCTATAGCACCAAAAGGATTTTCTTCTGCAAGCAATTCCACAATACAGGGACATTGTCAAGTCCTTAGGAGAATGAGGAGTTAAAAAAAAAAAAGATTATGGCATTGAATTTAAAGTAATGAATCACCAAGAGGGTTATACTTCAAGCCAATTAAATAGGATCACTATTTAATATTAAGGAAAGATAAACAGAGTAGAAGTCAGATGATCTGGCTTCTAAATTGCATTTCTACCACTAACTAGCCGTGAGATTTCAACTTTTCAGTACCTAATTCAGTACCTTTCCTAATCTACAGAATTCAACCCTGTTCTGCCTACCTAATAAGTTGTGAGAGTCAGCTAACTATCCACAAAAAAGATGTGCTCCTCCTTCCATAGTGTGGAATTCTTGCTGAGAGGTAGGTGCCAAGCTAAGCCTACATTTCTCTCCTCCGTTGGTCCTTTGGTAGGACCAAAACTAGGTCTTAACAATAGAATGTAAATGTAAGTGATAGGTGTCTCTTCTAGGCTGAAGCAGTTAAGAAGTGGGTACGCCTTCTCCATCCTCTTTCCCCATCTGCTTGGAAGACTCTGGAATGGCAGAACCATTAGTTGGAGGAGCCTGGATCCTTGAATTCCTACATGGGGAAAAGCCACCCACCAACCAGGGACTCCCCACCTTGGACTATTTGTGAGCTAGAAATAAGCTTCCACCGTAGTAAGCCACTGGCATTTTGAAGTTTGTTACAGCAGCTAGCATTACCCTAACAGACCAGGTCTCCAAAGTCATGGAGCCAAGTTCCTCAGAATACATGAAAAGCAAAGTCCCTTTGAAAATGAAGTAAGAACCCAGTAGATAAGGAAAATATAAAATCGCAGGCATTAGGAAAATATTTCAAAAGGCAGCAATGCAAATCTACATGGATCTAAGCTATTTTCTATTTTTTTATATCATTGTGAGAGGGAAAAAGTTCTGTATCTTAAGAATCCATTCTGCAGAAGGTGATTCCTTTTAAATTGTATATCAGTTAGCATTTTATTCCCCATGAAAAGTAAAGTTCACATTAGCAATAAAGAAGTCAAAGAAGTCCACTGAAATGAGAAAATCAGTGCAGTTAAATAACAAACCACCCTTTTAACTGTGCCCAAAAGAAGCAAGCTTAACACTGAACCACTGAGGAACATCTAAAGTTTAGGCTTACTTCTGGGTTGCATAATTATGAATCACTGATGGCTAATCCTTGGACAGCTTTGGCTACAGTCTATGTCCTAGTCAAGGGCAAAATATATTTAGTAAGCAACATTCAGCAAAGTATTTATTGAGCTTTATGCAAGCTCTCTTAAGGGACACAAAAATGTACAGGATGGAAATCTTGCCCTTAAAAGACTCTAACAGGAGAGAGAAAACAAATATACATCTTTCACAGAAGGCAGTATGTGATATGTAGGTTACACAGCACTCTAGGAGAGTATTAAAGGTATAATCCCTATTTACTGGAAGAAATGAATTTAAAGGTCAATATTTGTCTCCTATACAATTCTGAGAATGTAAATTAGTACAATATCTTTGGAGGACAATTTGGGAATATCTATCAAAATGTAAATAAATATCCCTTTCCCCTACCAATTGCACTTCTATGAATTTATCCTAGGAAGGAAAGGACATGTACAGGAATGTTAACTGAAAATTATAATAAAATGGAATAATACACAGCTATTAAAAATAAAGATAACAGTGGAAAAATATATACGCAGTAACAGAGAAAGATATTCAGATTATTAAGAAAAGCAAGTAGTGTTTAGTTGGTTTAGCATGATCTAATTAATTTATAAAGAAAAGGAAATATACATACATACACCAATGTAACTACATATGTATTTATTTATATATTTTAAATGACTAGAAGTACACGTACCAAACTTTTTTTTTAATTGAAGTATAGTTGATTTATAATGTGTTAATTTCTGGTGTTGTGTTAATTTCTAGTGATCCACTTATACATATATATTCATATTCTTTTCCATTATGGTTTATTATAGGATATCAAATACAGTTCCCTGTGATGCACAGTAGGACCTTGTTGTTTATCTATTTTGTTTATAGTAGTTTGTATCTGCTAATCCCAAGCTTCTAATTTATCCCCACCTCCACCCTCTTTCCCCTTTGGTAACTGCAAGTTTGTTTTCTATGTCTGTGAATCTGTCCAAACTGTTGACAAGTGACTAATTTTAAAAAGTGAGATGGAGATAGCGATTGAAAAGGGTACTTGTAATTTTTACTTTTTACGTTTTTAAACTTTAAAACATTTTTTTAGCCATGTGTTCGTATTTCTTGTAAATAAGATAGCGGGTAATAAATCAGTAGTTCCCAGGACTGACTGCACTAAGAGGCGTTTTCCAGGCCATTGTTCCCAGTAGCATTTCATCACATTCTCTAAGAGCCTTAGGGAATTTCTTTGGTGAGCTCCTTGAATTCCTTTGGTGAGTCTGTAAGAGCTGTTTGTAGTTATGACTACTGACTAATCTGTGTGGCCCACTGTGCTTCTCTGCCTGATGTTTTGCCTAAATGTAATGCCTACTAAGTTAACCGTAGCCAGTGTGAATTATCATGGTTGGCTGACTCATAGGCTGGTGGTCACAAAGCTTGTAGAAGACAAAGTTCCTAATGAAGCTTTAAAAAAATTGATAATCAAAAGGAAAACCAGACATATATTATTGATGCAGTCATAAACCTAGTAAAGATTAAGTCTAAAACCTTTTCTAAATGGTCTCTTGTATATTTTTTATGCACATCGTACATAAAAGCAGTATAGATTACTTAAAAGTTAAAGAAGAGAAAATGATTTCCTTAAAATTCAGCTTTAACTGTATTTTCCTCTTTCAAATAGATTGTTTAAATTATCAAATTACTATAACAATATTACAGGACATCTAGAAAACGGAACTGTGAGAGCACCCATAATATTACCACATTAATATAATTTACATATTGGTCCTTTGCACACACGCACTTTACATATTTATAATCAGTGAACATTTTTTTCAACTTGCTTTCAGGAAACATGTCATAGTCAGTTTTCCATGTTTTTGTATAAACTTTATTTATTTTTATGGCTGTATAATATTACCTTAAGTGACTCCCTTCCTTATTTTGCTAAATATTCCTCTAATTTTAGACATTTAGATGGTTCTGATTTTAAATCACCAGAAATAACTACTACTGCATACCTCTGTGCTGCTGTTTTCAGGTTACCTCTGTAAGTTCCCCGACATAGAATTATTGGGACAAAATTTGTTTTATAATCATATGGCTTTCTATACATTGCTGCATTTATAAAGGTTAATGGCATTTAATTAAAAAATGGAATTTTCATATTTTTTTATCACCGTTAAGACTCGAAGTGTTTTCAGATTTACTAGTTCTAGCTCTCCTTTAGTAAATTGTCTGTATGATGTCCTGTGTTCATTTACTTATTGTGGTTTTACTCTACTTTTGACCATTCTACTTTTAAAAATACTGTAGTACATTTACAGCATAGTCCATAATATGATCACCAAAACCCACCGTAGGAACCATTGTTATATGTATTGCTTTTCTCTGCGAAGCTGTCATTCAGACTGAACCTCAGCACAAAAAAAGAGGCTCTTTTAACAGTCAAGAGGATATATGAGATACTTTAAGGATGAAAATATAATTTCTTATGGCCCTATATTATTTAGAAGTCTAATGCAGGGAAAATTCATTACTGTTTTTCTGAGATGGTTTGTGATTTTCACCTTTAGGGGTGTTCAGTGTGAGGTATTATTCAGAATTTATTGACCCAAGGGCACAGATTTGGTAAAGATACTACATAGGAAACTCATATCCAGCTGCCCAAATTCCTCATCAGAAACAGAATGGTTGTTTTTGTTTGAAGTAGCAACCATTACTGTATTTTATTCCTGATGGCACACTGGGGATAAAAATGCACTATTCACAAAATTAGTTTTGGAAGAAAATATTAGCGCCGTTATTTTACTTTAGATGACAAGCTCAGGTCTGCCTTCTGTTTTGTTTACAGTGTAAATACATGTCTCCTCCAAGGCAAGAAAGGGACAGGGAAATAAGCACTGGAGAGACTGGAACTTTTATTCCTGGATCTCCCACTGACTGAATTTGCGACCTGGGGCTGTCACGTAACTTGCCAGGGAGTTTGGTTTCTGTCATTTCTCACAGGGGAAGGAAGGAGAGAAAAGAGACCTAACGTATGCTACAACCCTGTCAGGTTTTGAAACACGTAATTCTAAGCTCTGCTGGACTGTAAAATTCTTAAGCGTTGGGGTTGCATCTTCCCTGTGTACAGCATCTAGCACAGTCCCCATCACAATGTAAAACACAACGTCTATAAATGAATGAATGAATTTATTCCGTAGTACAAGACAGGAAGATAAAGCTTTGAGAGGTTAACTAAACAGAGCAACAGATTCAAACCCAGGGCTGTCTGGCTCCAAAGCTCATGTTTTGATGAGAAATACATGGGAAAGCATCTTCCAACATTCATGTACTAGTTAAGTTTTTAAAAAGTACAAAGACTGATAGAGATGAAAGGTAATATTATTTTGACCAAAAACTATTAAATGATAAGGCAAGGCCCTTAAGATTAACAGTGTTTCTAAACCCCCTGTAATAAATGATTCAGACATGTTTCTCATCCTGTTCATCTTAAAACAAAGATTAATTTATAAAAAGCACTATAGCATGACAAAAAAAAAAAATCCATCTCGAATCTCTGTGGTTACTTCTCCCAAGAGGAGGCCAGGTTTGGCAGTATCTGAGAGAGTCCTTCTCAGTGGGTCTGACTTTTCATGACTATGGACCTCAGTGGAATGCGAAATATGCAAAACTCAGGAGCCACTGGGAAACAGATTTCAAAGTCTCACTAACCAGCTTTATGGTTTGCTTTCTAAAAAATAATTTTTTCTCCCCTAATTCAAACTGATTCAGGTACAAGGCAGAGAAGTTAACAAATTCCATTTTTAAATAACTCTCAAAAAATGTTTCAGAAAATAACGACAGCTCCACAAGTGATGATGCAAAGGTGATCATTGTCCCTGCAATAAGGAAGAGAGTCTGACAGCGGGATTTTTTCAAGTTCTAATTAGGTTTCCCCATAAAATCCTTGTATTTAGAACCTGGGTAGGTTTCTCTTCCTCTTTACTTACTCTGAATTCTGTTGTGGGTGCCTTCCTAGCCCTTGAGAATCAGCAGAAATGTTCCAAATGTTCTTAGGATGTTGGACTCCCCTTCCTGGATAATTGCTGCCTCTGACACACTTCCCTACTAGGGATGCAATCTGGGAAATGTAGTTCAATCCTCATGCCTGCTGCTAAGCTCACCAAAGTTAACCACGATTGTCAAAAGCATGCTTCTGCCACACTTCCCAGAATCCTCCTAGAGATGCATTCTGGGAATTGTAGTTCAATCCCCAGGCACGCTGCTGTGCCCTCAACTGCAAATTAACCATGGTTGTTGTCAAAAGCATGATCTTCTAAGATCTAAACCCATTACCAGAACTTCTGCAGTAGTTCTAGCATTAGATTCATTTTTAAATAATGAACAATAGTCTTTAAACCCATCTTCCTATACAGAAGGCATTTTTTGGGGTGGGAGTTGGAGGGGGAAGAGAAGTGTTGGGATGGGAAGTCAGAGACCTTTCAACCTTTCTGTATCTCTAATTCTGTCTCTGTCTGCCCAGTTCACAGCTCACTCTAACATTTCATGAAAGTCTACCAATTTCAAAGGACAGCACTGTTTCTAGGTGTGTTTGAGCTTATAGTCATCCCTTGACTACCCAGGGCAAGAGGATTGTTTGGCTGATAGCAGTCTCCCAACAAAACTGCTTTGATGCTGTTCCTTTTTCTTATTACTACTAAAATTACGTGTTAACACAGAAGACAGTTTTGAAGGCCATTCTTTCAACACATATTTAATGAGTACCAAATGTGCCTGGGACTGTTACAGGTACAAGATACAGCAAGGAACAAAACGTGTGAAAATTTCTGTCCCCATGTAACTTACATCCTAGAGGAAGAAACAAAGAAGTAAATATGAAATGTACCACATGGTTATAAGGGCCAGTGAGAAAAATAAAATATGATAAGAGGAGGGAGGAATTTCATATTTTATATAGGGTGGTCAGCCTCATTGTTAAGTTGATATTTGAGTAATGACCCTAAAGGAGCTGAGGAAGGAAGCCAAGTGGATACCTATGGGAAGACATTTGTAGACAGAAAAAAAAATCAGCAAATGCAAAAGCCGTGGCATGGAAGTGTGCCTGGCAGATTTGAGGAATTGCTAGGACAAAGCATGGTGGTGAGAGATGAAGTTAAAGAGTAGCCAAGCACCAGATCACATGGGGCCTTATAAGTTTTAGAGTTCTTATAGAGCCATTGTAATGCTTTTGGCTTTTACTCTGAGAAGATGGGATGCTACAGAAGAGTCCAAGCAAGTGGATGAGATGATTTGACTTAAATTTTAAAAGAATCACTCTGTGTGTGGAGAGTAGACTGTAGGGGATAAGAGTTATTAAATCCTGAATGTCAGTGTTAATATGTACCTAGGTTACATGTACATTGTTATATGTTAATATGTACCTAGGAAGAGTAGTAGTGCTGGTTAGTTGACCAGTTACTTCTTTTGGACCTTTCTTTTAGCATATGAACCCAAACTTCTTTTTCAAATTGTTTTTAAATTGACATATAGTCCATTTACAATGTTGTGTCAATTTCTGGTGTACAACATAATAGTTAAGCCATACATATACATACATATATTGTTTTTCTTTATAGGTTACTGTAAGATATTGAATATAGTTCCCTCTGCTATACAGTATAAACTTGTTTATCTATTTTATATATAGTAGTTAGTATCTGCAAATCTCAGACTCCCAATTTATCCCTTCCCACCCTCTTCCCCACCAGTAACCATAAGTTTGTTTTCTATGTCTGTGAGTCTGTTTCTGTTTTATAAATAAGTTCATTTGTCTTTTTTTTAGATCCCATATATACATAATACCATACGGAATTTTTCTTTCTCTTTCTGGCTTACTTCACTTAGAATGACAATCACCAGGTCTATCCATGTTGTTGCAAATGGCATTGTTTTATTCATTTTCATGGCTGAGTAGTATTCCATTGTATAAATATACCACAACTTCTTTATCCAGTCATCTGTTGATGGATTGTTTCCATGTCTTGACTATTGTAAAGTCCTGTTATGAACATTGGGGTGCATGTATCTTTTCAAGTTCAAGTTCCCTCTGGGTATATACCCAGGAGTGGGATTGCTGGATCATATGGTAAGTCTATTTTTAGTCTTTTGAGGAATCTCCATACTGTTTTTCATAACGGCTGCACCAGACTGCATTCCCACCAACAGTGTAAGAGGGTTCCCTTTTCTCCACACCCTCTCTAGCATTCATTGTAGACTTTTTAATGATGGCCATTCTGACTGGTGTGAGGTGATAACCTCATTGTAGTTTTGATTCACATTTCTCTGATAATTAGTGATATTGAGCATTTTTTCATGTGCCTGTTGGCCATTTGTATGTCTTCACGGAAGAATTGCTTGTTTAGGTCTTCTGCCCATTTTTGGATTGGGTTGTTTGTTTTTTTCTTATTAAGTTGTATGAGCTGTTTATATATTCTGGAAATTAGGCCCTTGTCAGTCTCATCTTCTGTAAATACTTTCTCCCATTCTGTAGGTTGTCCTTTGTTTATTGAACCTAAACTTTTTATCAGATTTATGGATCTATTTAAGGAAGGAACAGAAAATTTTAGGGAAACAAGATATAAAGTCAGTGACTTCCAAAGAGATGGGGAAGCATGCTTAGAGAAAGTTAGGACTCTAATAATTTTTTAAAATCAAAATTACTGTATTTTTGAGCAATTAAGTATCAAGTGCTATAATAATAAAAATAATAGTGCTAAGGTTTGAATGTCTGCATTCCCCCTGAAATTCATATGTTGAAATCCTAATGCTCATTGTGCTACTATTAGTAAGTGAAGCCTTTGGGGTGATTAGGTCATGTGGATGAAGCTGTTACGAATGAGATGAATGCCCTCATATAATAGAGGCCTGAGAGAGTTCCCTTGCCCCTCTCACCATGTGAGGATACAGTGAGAAATCTGCAGCTTGGAAGAGGGCCTTGACTTCCAGCCTCTAGAACTGTGAAAAATAAGTTTCTGTTTTTCATAAGCTACCCAGTCTGTGGTATTCTGTTATAGCAGCTCAAACAGACAAGGACAAACAGCTAAGATTAATTGAGCATTTACTGCATTCAAGGCACTATGCAGAGTGTTTCACGTGTTCATCATTAGTCCAAACATCCTATGAGATATGTATTATTATTTGCACTTTACTGATGAGAAAACAGCAGCTCAGAAAAGTTAAATAGCTTGTCCATATTTACACAGCTAGTCAGTTGAAGGGCTGTCTGACTCCAGACAGACCCTGTGCCTTTCACTACCATAAAGTACAATAGACCTGGGTTGTACCTCTAACTGGGTGTGGGGCAGGGAAGCTGCACATAAACATCGGAAAATACAGGAATGATGGAAATAATCTCGTTCATAGATTGGAAGATTTAATTTTCTTAAGATGGCAGTATTCCCCTAATTGATCTACAGATTCAGTGCATCCCTATCAAAATCACAGCTAGCTTGTTTGCACAAGCAACAAAGGAAAAAATAGAACTTAATCAATATTGGGATGGCCACATCAAAAAGGCAGATAATGACAAGGAGTAGTGAGGATGTGGAGAAAATGGAATCCTCATATACTGCTTGTAGGATATGTAGCTGCTTTGGAAAACAGGGTGGCAGTTCCTCAAAAAGTTAAATATAGAGTTACCAAATGACCCAGCAATTCCACTCCTGGGTATATATTCAAGAGAATTGAAAACATATGTCCACACAAAACTTGTACACAAGTTTTCATAGCAGTATCATTCAACATAGCCCCAAAGTAAAAACAAACCAAATGTCCATCAACTGATGAAGGGATAAACAAAATGTAGTACATCCATAAACAGTGTTTTATTCTGCAATATAGAGGAATGAATTACTAATAACATGCTACAACATGGATGAAACATGAAACATTATGCTAAGTGAAAGAATCCATTCACAAAAGATCACATATTGCATTTATAAAATGTTTAGAATAGGCAAATCTGTAGAGGTAGAAAGTAGATTAGATGTTGCCTTGAGGTGGGATGGAGGAAGTGTTGGAGGAGAATGGGGAGTAACTGCTTGTGAGAACAGAGGCTTGTTGTGTTGTTTTGTTTTTTGTATTTTGGTGTTTTTTTGGAGTGATGAAATGTTGCAAAATTGATGGTCTTAATGGGTACACAATTCTGTGAATGTATTAAAGATCATTGAATTGCACACTTTAAATGGGTAAGTTATGTGTTATTTGAATTACAGCTCAATAAAGCTGTTAAAAATAGTCAACCAAATCATTAGTTATGTTAAACAATCATAGTACGTGGTTAGTAAATACAACAAATAGGGTGTAAATAACTATAATCCTCATAGTTTTTTTAGGTCATAAGATAAAACTGTCTCTCCTTAGACATGCTTAAGTTCAAAGGAATGGCATTTGTTTAATCATGTGATAAATTAATACTGCATAGTCTTTTAAGGGCACAAATTGAGCCTCAAGTCATTGGATCCCAGTCTAACTTTTAGTGGTGAAAGTAACAATGTATTTTAAAGATACGTGTTTATTAATTCATTGAACATATACTTACTGAAAACCCAGCATGTGCCAAACATCATGCTAGAATCGGGAATACAGTGGTGAATATATAACATATTGTCTCTGCCAGCAAAAATTAACTATGCATGTACATATGTGTATGTTGTGTGTGTGCACAAGCATGAGAGAGAACAGCCCATTACTCAACTACGGGAGTGGACATTAGGATATAGGGATACCTGAGCAAACTTGAGGAGAAATTGCAAATTCAGTCTGTAAGCGGGCTTGCAGTTGGATATCGTTTCACTTCACGTGGGGCAAGAAATAGAGCTTAACAAACAGAGTGGGAAGTGGTTTACAGGAAGGCCTCTTAAATAATACGCCATTGGCACAGAGCCCTGTGTGTCTGCACAGCCAGTGGTGCCATAAACACTGGGAGGTCCTTATGCTTCTCTTCTAGAGCAAAGTGCAATAAGTTTCCTTCTCTTTCACCTGCCCAAATATGGGGTAATGTTTAACACAGAGCAGTGAATGGAACCAAGACTGAAGGCCAGACTCAGCTGGAAGACAAGATGAAGCAGAACAATTAGGGTATACT